GGGGAGGGTGACCGGGTGAGGTGGTGGGATCACGTGGTTTTCAATGGGATAGAATGGGGGCTTAATTGTCGTCAACAGAGTATAAAGCGGGGACTATAGAAAGTTGTCTGCCAATAGAAGGGGGGAGTCAAAAGGATATTCAAAGGAATATAGAACTGTAACTGTTTTATTTTCCTCTTGGAATATTACAGAGCCTTATGGAGAACTAGGTACATTTTATCTTTACACAACCAAAATTCTAAGGCGACAAATAATGACCGATCCTTAACATAGAAAATCGTATCTGAAACAAAAAAAAAAAAAGAAAAAAAAAGAAAAACTCGAACAAAACTACGGGGGTGTGAAAGCCGCTGAGAGGTGAGAAGTACTCACCCCTTCGCCCTTCCTTGGTTTCTAACGCTCGGCTCTCAAGCGACTCGATTGGGGGAAACTACACAGAGGACCCGGCCGGACCAACACTCAAGGTCTTAAAATTACTGAGGAGAATGTGTTACCTATCTATGATATCAGGAAATGGATAGACATTCTAGTCTTCTCGGATAAGACGAATAACCTGCAGGGTTAGGAGTAGGAGACGTTAATTTCCCACGCACAAGATTACTGTGTGGTGGATGTCCTCCCCTGGGGTGGGATGGGTGGGTGTTTGTTCAGAGAAACTAGCACTACCATGGTACTCTGAAATTCGAACGGAAAAAAGTTATGTATGCATGCAGGTATGTACGTACGAGGAACAGGCACACCAATGCCTTAATAATATCAGGGAAAAATGCAAATTGTAATTATTGGAAGATAGAAACATTGTAACAGGGATAATACTAAACAAAGAAAGAGCGGGAACGGTTAAAGATGGAAAGGATTAACAACGATTGGAAATGAGGAACATAGGAAATTAAGGATCAATTCTTCCGGCTACGCATACAGTGAAAGGGCCTCTTTAGTACAAAGTGTATAATCTTACTCTGTCTCTAACCAACATCTGTGCTCGGTTTTTGTGGACAATTTTGATATATCCCGGAGGTTGCATCCAGGCTTCGCCGTCCACTTGAACTGGCACTGATTCACCAAATATGGAGATTTTTACAGTCCGACACTGGAAGCAAAGCGAGCATTAAGAGTGAGAAGGTTTGGTAACAAAGCAAGTCCAGGCGATCAAAGGGAGATTTAGCAAGCTCCATGTTTAAAGTCATGAATTTTCACGTCAAAGTCGCGGTCTCCACAGTTGAAGACAATTTTCAAAAGGTTGGGTTTACTCTATGGAATCTCAAAACTCGATCCCATGATTAAAAACTGCATGGTTTTAGGAGCATGCTTATCCTTTCACACAAACTTACCTGTGCGATCCGGTGATGAGGCATACCACCAAAAACTTTACACATTCCCTGCGACAAAAGAGAAAGAAAAATTACCTCTATTGAGAAAAAGCATGATAAAACAAGAGTACAAATATTATTTTGATTGAGCGTAATAATGAAAGAGAACCAAATACAATAAAAAATCAGATATTCGTATAACCATACCATCTGGTGAGCACCAAGAACTGCCACAACTTCAAGGAAATTGTCGTCAACGGAAGGCTCGTTGAAACCCTGACACATTTAACAGCAGTATTCATGTCAAGGTAACGAAAAAAAATAAAGTTGAACTTTGTTTAAATATCCAGTGAAAGAAAGAATCAGAACTTACGTCATCTCGCCCTGTTCCCCAGAAGTTAGCGCCACCCATGTAACTGTAGAATAAGAAGGACAAAGGGTTAAATTTGAATAACTAGCGGTACAAAACATATTCTCAAAGACTGCTCATTATTTATTACCCGGCTATTTCACTTTTTGAAGCATTACCTTGTTATGTTTAACACTACAATTCCTTGAAGACTTGGAAGATTGATTTTGTGTCCGTCACACTGAGTAGAAGACAAAAGAACAGGTCATTAGAAAACTGATCTAAGAGCGCTTTTCGATTGGGTGTCGTAAAACAAAAACCAAAGTAGTCACAACGACCAATTAAAAGAAAGCAAAATCCATGCAAGAGCCAATCAGAACTTGAGGCAAAAGCAACCAAACTGCTTCAAGCGCGGGAAACCGCGGGTGACCCAAGTCGTGCTTAGTTTTGGTTTTGCATCTGATTGGTTGAGGGAATGGCGCGAGTTTTCTGGACCAATCACAGAGCAAACGAAAGCACAAGCAATGCCACCTCAGATTACTTTCGACAATCAATTGAAAATTGTTCAACGAAATGCCAGTAACTGCAGCCAGAGAAGGGAGAACCTAAAGCGCAGGAAGAAGTACCCTCATCAGATGATTGTTGTGGAAGCCGTAATAATAAAAGTTACATGGCAGCTCAATCAATGTCATACAAAAAATTTAAGCAGAAGACTTTAAATTCACATGTCAAAACACTGCTTTAGTTATCTCCAGGCTCCGAAACCGTCCTTGAAACCGTCTCAACCGTCCATGAAAATCTGAGGGTCTATGACAACAACAAAAAAAAAACTGCTGCAAAT